TAGGCGCTGCTCCGGCTGCAGCCCCTGTCTGTGGCCAGTCTGGGTCACTACAGGCTGCCCCGGTTCGTGCTGGGTCCAGGGCCTACCCCTGCTGTGCCTCTTCAGTTTAAATGTAGTAGGAGCCCCACAAGATAAAGACCACAAAAATAGACCTCTTCAGCTGAAAGAGATATTCCTCCTCCATCTTACAATTTAGAGTTATCAATTATTCAGAGCTCCTAGCCAATTATGACTACTCCAGTTACAACAAACTCAGGGAGCTGATCATGGACATACCAGAGCAGAACCCCTCCCCTCCCCCCCCCCCCCAGAGTGGTGCACACCAGACAATAGCTCAAACAGCATTTTAATTGGCAATCAATGTGGCAGATACAGTGGCTCAAGCCACTGGAATAATCATGCATAGGTCATCCTGACTATAAGTTTCAGGAACACCTAAAGAACTCCAACTCAATGTGAAGGATCTCCCTTTCAACAGACTGACAGCTCTAAGACTGACAGCATCCTTCATACCATAAAGGACACTTGTGCCACTCTATGTACACTTGGCATTTACATGCCACCAAATAAACATAGGCAATATACACCATACCAGAGGCTGAGAAACTCAATTTTCCATCAACATTTCCATCCCAACACATCAAAACAGAGATCTGAGGAGAAGACCGTTTCAGACCCAGACTACTCTAGCCAATCCTCCACATCCAAATTGCCATTTTGAAAGATTGATCAAGGGCCTGCGCAACCTCTCCTTACAGATAGCATTGATTAATTCCAATTATATTTTGGCCTCCTGCTATCCCGACCTTAACAACGGCCCTCCCCCCACTAATATAAGGATTCGCTATACTTGAACCATGGCGGCCTCACTTGCCTTTCTGCAGCATATCCCCATAGTAGACATCTGCAGGGCTGCTATCTGGACTTCAGAGCACACTTTCACAAAATAAAACTGCCGGAAAAGACTTGAAAAGAAAGGAGTTCCATATTTGTAATGTTGATTCTAAGTTGAAGGAATCAACTTCGCCATCCTCATTCCTGACCCAGCAGTTGGTCTAGCTGTGCTATCCTTCACTATTGTTACATGATTCTGAATCCCACTTTCCTTGAGGGAGACTGCTTGATAGTCATCAAAAGTGGAACGTCCACAGGGGCAGCACTCAAAGAAGTTACTTACTGTGTTCAGTAACAATGGTTCTTTTAGATATGTGTCCCTGTGAATGCTCCACAACCCATCCTCCTCCCGTCTACTTTGGAGACCAGATTCTCAACTCTGGGGTAGAGGAATGGAGGTGGGTTGAGCTATGAATATGATACATTAGGCACTGATGTCTCAATATGGCTATCACACACGTGATGTCCAACTGACCACTGCTGTGAAAAACTCCAATCTCTGGTCCTGGTATGCACTGACACTCAGAGTGAAGGAACTTAGAGTGAAGCACCCACAGGGACGTACATTTCGAAGAACTGTCATTACTGCACAAAGTGAATACCTTCTTTCAATTTCAGTGTGTTTCCATGTTTTGTCTAAAATTGACCAGCGATAATAGCTTCCCTCAATTTTGTATTTAAAATTACAAATGCTTAATGGTTGCAACAGCCCTTCACCTGTCTTTCAAAATGCAGAAATAGTGCTCAGCACTTTATTTTCTGCATATATTTCCACCTTTAAAAATGTCATTCGTCATGTTCACACTCTGTGTATATATGCTGTGCTCTTATTTTTACATGTAGATGCATGGTGTTCAAATAATTAAAAACAGAGCTTGTTCTGTGCATAATACATCAAATGTAGAATTCAGTAACTAGTATTTTGATTTTTTAAGTAAATTTGGACAAATGCCAGACTTCTGCTTCTTTATGAGAAGGGGATATAAGCCCATACCTTATGCACTGTGCTGTGAACTGAGTCATTGCTATAAATGTATATTACTGTTTTACAGTTACATCCTCATCTGCTGTCTCTGCTCACATGGTCGCATCTGTTATTGTAGCTGTAGTAGAAGGGAGAGGACTTGCCAGAGGTGAAGTAGGAATGGCTAGTATTGACTTAAAAACCCCTGAAGTGGTATTATCCCAATTTGCAGACAACACAACCTATGCCAAGGTAATTATGAATACTTTGGGTTGCTGAATATGGTTGCATTTTATATGACAATGAAGATTATTGTAGTTGTCCTTTTTGTCAGATGTGTGTATTAATAATAGCAAGAAATCCCTGATTGAAGACTGCAGTTTGTTCATGACAAGAGTAATAAAAAAAAGTAAAATAGCATTGTTAATGCGAACAGTAATATCATTTATGCTGGCTTTGTGGACATTGGATACTCATTTTTTAATCTGTTCCTCTTAAAGATTCTATCTACTCATAGTAGCAGGTGCATTTTTGCTCTTCAGCTAATAGTGTATTTATTTGTGTTTGGATTCTTTCCCATACTTTTTCACCACTCTTTGTTGGGGTTCCACTATGACTCTGTCCTTGGCCTCGATCCTCAAAGTTACTCTTATAATTTTGATCTATCTTCGTCTGTACAATCCCATATTTCAGTTTTCCACTCCTTCGTTTCTCTCTTTGACATCCCTTCTGAGATATCTCCCTTCAACTTTAAATGAACATGATAAAAATGGAACTTGTTTCCTTTCAAGTCCTTTTGTGCCTTTTCATTGTCTTTGGACATCACTATTTCCCTTGTCACTCAAACATAACTTGTCTTTGATTCTTTCCTCTCCCAAGTGCCCACAACAAGCTGTGTCCAACTCCTGTGTTTTGCTGTAATGAGTTGCTGTAATATTTTAAAAATTTTATCATATTTGTACACTGCGAAAACCTGTCCCTCATCTCACATTTTAATTACTGTAACTTCCTTTTTGCTGGCTCTATGACAGAACATTCACCCTTCAATCCATCCAGAACACATCTGCTTAAAATTGTCTCCTGTTTTTGTCACTCTGATTTTACTCTTTTGTTGACTTTCCAATTTCCGGCTCCATTGTCTTCAATGCCCTTCACTAAATACTTGTCTCTTACTGTGTTGTAACCTCTGCTTCACCAATGATATTGGCTTCAACCATTGTCACACTTTATTCCATGCCACCTCGTATGCATGGAACACCATCCCTCAATTAATATGTTAAGGGCACTGTCTTCTACACATCCCTCCTTAGGACTTATTTCTGCTGTAATGTGACCAAAAAACTAGGCAGCTAACAATGGCTAGGTGGGGAAGCCTTGGCCCAAACAAAAATATTTTAGATAGTTCAGAATGATTAAGTCTATGGCATCTCATGAATTTATTATACCGTTTGAACCTCTGAAGTCCAGCACCCTTGGTACCTGACAGATGCTGAATCAGAGAATTTGACAAACCACGGGAAGTCAAAATTGTAGTAAATGGGTCTCTTTTTATTTTTATTTTGCCAAGGTGAATAAAAACGGGCCTCCCTAGGCTAGATCCAGCCCACCAAGTAAGTTGATCCAGCCCGCAGAGGCCCTACCACTCCCTCCCAGCCCAGGCCAATCAGTGCTTCCTAGCAGGGTGGGAGGAGACTGTGTGTGCTCTCCCCATCCTCAAGCCCTGTTTGGCCTGGGGGCAGGAGGGAGCACACAAAGTCTTCTCCCACCCTGCGAGGTTGTGTGGCGCTTCTGAGCATCATGCCCTCTGCAGGATGGGGGAAGGGCGGGAGGAGACTCTGTGCACTCCCTCTGCCCGCAGGCCAATCAGGAAAGGAGAGGATAGCATGTGAAGTCTCCTCTAGCTCTGCAAGGGGCTCAGCACTTAAAGTCAACTGCCAGCTGCTGCTCAGCTGGTGGTTGACTCTAAGCCAGGGCTGGCCTTACCAAGAGGTGAACTGAGGCAGCCGCCTCAGGTGCCAGACTGTGGGGGTGTGCAGGGGCAACCCGTGGCTATAGGCGGACATCGGTGCCCAATGATGACGTCACGGGGGCGCCTGGGGTGCCCGCTGATGACATCAATGCATTGACAGCCCTGCAGTGCATCATACGCTCTGCCTGGGGCGCCAGCTGCTGCAGCTGGCCTCGGGCCGCTCCTGGGGGGGGGGCACCACTAGAGTGTAGAAATTTGTGTCTGTTGTTGGTGCTTATGTATTCTCTGCTCTAGACGCACAGAGATGGTGGAGTGCTGTGCTGGAGGAAGGAGAACACAAGAGAAATAACAGGCAGGCAGGAGAAAAGGTGGCCTGGGGGGGTCGTTTGAGCTCCCAGCCTCAGGTGCCAAAATGTTGTGGGCCGGCCCTGCTCTAAGCATGGAGCTCCCTTGCAGGGCGGGGTCAGGGAGCGAGAGACTTCATGTGCTCCCTCTCCAGACCCTGATTGATCTTGGGGCAGCAATGGGGAGCACATGAAGTTTCCTCCTGTGGCCAGGGGCACGGGTACCTAAAGGGAACCGCCAGCTGTTCTGAACAGCTGGTGGTTCTCTCTCTGTATGTGGGGAGGAAATCTTTGCAACTCCCCCACCATGATACCAATCAGGATCTGTGGGTGGGGAAGCACAGAAGTGTCCTGCCCCAACCACTTCTACCCCTTCCGGGATGGCCTGGGACCACTTAAAAAATTTCTGAAGTGGTCCCTGGTCAGAAATTATTGCCCATACCTGACCTATATACTAGGACCCAAATCATAATTTGTGGCCTTTGGGCTCTACTGCAAATAATACAAATAGAAATAATACATAATAATTGCTTTTGTTAGGCATATGTAAATGTTAACCCTTTCCTAGATAAGAAATTAGTAGCAACATTCAGTTGTATTTCAAATCAGAGCTAGGTTCCTGACCCAAGTAGGGCAAGACAGGGGACATCCTTCTGCTCTTTCAGCTTTACCCCCAACCAACCCCTTTTTCATATGAAGCACAGTCCTTTTTACTTTGTCTGTTGTTCCCTCATTGCTCATGATCCTTCTAGCTGCTGGAGAACCAATTCTTCTTAATTCTGCCAGCTGCTGAATCTGGTGGATTTTCTTGGCAGCTAGTGGAGGTTTAAACTCACAGCTCTTTTCCAGCAAAAGGAAACTTGCATAAGGCAGGATTAGCCAGGAGCTGGGGGCATTAAACACATGCTGTTACAATGAGTATTTCATGCAAAAAGGAAAGGCTTGTTTAAATATGTATATTTTGAGCCACCAAAACAGAGAAACAATGCAGGTTAGGCTGAAGTGTGTACATGTATGCATAAAAAGTTATAAGGTCTAAAATATGACCTAATCCAAAGAGCCTTATCCAGTCCATGTGAGTTTGAAGCTCATGACCTTCAGGAGTGCCCTGTGTCTTCACCTGCAAACCCAGAAAGTTTCTTCTGATTGAAAAGGTACCTTCTTAGTTTCAGCCATGTAATGCCATGTTAGGCATAACATTTTTTTTCAGGGATGCTTTGTCATATCTATCTTTCATACATTTATGACACGAGATCCATTATTTTCTGAATCTTTAATTTTAAGCATTTTGTAACTTTTGATTTCTGTTTTATATTAGTAAGTGATATCTGCAGACAGTTCATTCTTCTGTTTGGGAAATTATTACTGCAGGCTATTTCTCTGATAGCCTTTGTATGCAGCAGTTGGAGAGAGAAGAATGCATAATAGGGAAGGAGAGGGAGGAAAGAAATACATTTCTACATGCTACAAATAATAAATAATAATGTAATATGTTCATCTGCCATCTTTGGAGCCTGTTGCAATAGGTGTAGCTAAATCTTTTCTGTTTGTACTAAACTTGCCTCAGTGCTTTCTGTTCTACATGTAGCTCATTATCTGTCCATAAGAAAGTTCCTAGTGATTGTGGTCTTACCTGTTACCAGTGTTCAAAGTTCAGGAAGTGAAAAAAACCCATGACAATATTTCATTGTTGTTAGCCCTGCATGAGAATAGATGTCTACCTAGTTTGTTGTACGTACACCTCTCTTTACATTGAATTTTTAATTGATTTAAATTCGTTTAAAAGATTATAGAATTTGTTAGTCATTTCAGGACTATTTTATTTATTTGTGAAAATGTACTATGAGAGTGCTAACTTTTTAATTATTTCAATTTTGCTTTTAGGTTATCACAAAACTCAAGATTTTAACACCGTTAGAAATAATAATGTCAAATACTGCTTGTGATACAGGGAATACAACAAAATTGTTCAGTTTGATGATAGAAAATTTCAAGGTATTCTTTTTTTAGACTTTATTTCATTTTTATAGGGCTCCTGTTTGTCTGATATTATATAGTTGTGGATTTATGACAGTCTTTATAAGGGGATACAACTTTGAATCCTTTAGCTAGCTGGTGTTGGGCAGAGTTTAGGCAGCATTCCTGGCTTTTGACTTCTGCACACACATTTCAGATGTGATCATGTGTTCAGTGCACTTTTTGACAGTGGTGACCTCACTAAGCCCAACTGCCTAGGCCCTAAAAGTCATGCCATCTTCCCCAAGCTTCCCCCATCAAAATCACAGAGGAGTAGTTGTGTTAGTCTAATACTGAAACAAAACTTAAAAAACTACAAATGGTCCTGCAACACTTTAGAGATTAACAGTAAGTGTAAATAGTATCATGAGCTTTCGTAGGCACAACCCACTTCTTAAAGTTTAAGCCTTCTGGCTTACAGTTTGCCTCCTTAGGGATATTCATAGTGAAAGCCAACAGTTAGACAGACTTTTATAGGATACTAAAATAATATTGCTCCTACTTAATAGAATGAGAAATACATAGGTCTAATTAAAATAATGAACATATGTAGAGTTGCCAGCTTTCTCACTGCACAAAACTGAATCCCTTGTCTAGCCTCTGCCCTGAGGCCAAGTCCACCACTCATTCCAGCCCCCCACATTGCTGTCTCTTTCTCATCCTCACTCACTTTCACTGGGGTGTGACAGGAGGTTGGGAAGCAAGAGGGAGTGAGGGCTCCAGCCAAGGGCGTGGGCTTCAGGGTGAGGTCAGAAATGAGAGGTTCCGAGTGTGAGAGGGGGATCTAGGGTGGGGAAGAAGGGGTTGGTGTGCAGGAGGCAGCTCAGGACTAGGAAAGGGGTCTGGGGTCTGTGAGGGTGTGAGAGCCCTGGGATAGTGTTTGCTGTGGGAGGAGGTTCTAACCTGTGGCAGGGGTTTAAGGTAGGGTATAGGAGGAGGTTTCAATCTGAAGTAAAGATTTCAGGATGTGGGCTCCAGCTGGGCAGTGCTTACCTCAGGCAGCTCCTGGTTGGCAGTGGGAAGGGGCTAAGGAAGACTCCGTGCCTGCCCTGGTGCTGTGCTGCTTCCAGAAGCATCCAGCATGTCCAGGCCTTAGGCAGAGGCACAGCCAGGCAGCTCTGCATGGTGCACACTGCCTGCTTTTGCAGGCACTGCCCCCACAACTCCCACTGGCCGCAGTTTCCAGCCAATGGGAGCTGTGTAGGTAGTGCTTGGCAGGGGCAACGCGTAGTGCTTTGCTTAAGAGCACAGGGAGTTGGGACTTGCTGGTTGCTTCCAGGAGTAGCATGAACTTAGGGCAGGCAAGGAGCTGCCTTAACCCTGCTGCACCACTACCAGACCTTTAATGGCATAGTCAGCAATGCTGCCAGTAGCTGCCAGTATCTTTTCAACTAGGTGTTCTGATAGAAAACTGGATGCTTGGGAACCCTAAACATACGCATACACATTTCGTTGCCTCAGGTTCCTTACTATTCTGGATAGTTCTTTGGACTTGGACAGAGTCCTCTATGGTGTCTTCCTCTCCAGATCACGACTTCTGAATCATGGAGATTTTGCAGCCTGGCTAGCCTTCTCTGACCTTTGTTGGCACTGCAGTTAAATTGGATCCCCTGCTATGAACACTTGCCTGTTTTCCCCCCATTCTTAACAAAACTTACTGTTTTTCTGAGAATCATTTTTAAATCTTTGCTTTATCATCACTGTTGCTGTGTCCTACTTGGTAATTTTCCACTCTTCACAGCCAATCTCCTTAACATGTTCATTGCTTGATCCAGAGCAGAGTGATTAAGGTTAACAACTTTCCATTGTTCCTGGTCTAGTAAGTCCTTGTTAGTAGCTGATGGATTCCAAATCCACACAGTCATTTCATGATAAAATAATTTTATAATAACTTTTAGACTCATAGACTTTAAGGTCAGAAGGGACCGTTATGATCATCTAGTCTGACCTCCTGCACAATGCAGGCCACAGACTCTCACCCACCCACTTCATAGCATCAATTGGAATTCATAAGTAATTGGGACACTTTGGGATTCAACTTGTACCAGTAAGTGTTGTGTCACTGACTTAAATGTGATGCTGGGGTGGCTCACAGCTCTGACACCAACAGCCAGCCTACAAGTGTGCAGGTCAGATCTTGACTTTCACCACACAGTTCCCTTTTGCAGGTTGACCCCAAAGCTTGTGCCCAGTTCTGAATTTCTCCATAACTGTTTGCCTTAGAGTATCCAGTCTTGTCCTGAAAAACTCTCAGAAGTTAAGTTTGCTTTTTCTTTGATGATGTCCCCGCAGATGCTCCATTATGGGCTGCTGGGCTTACCCCGGCACCGCAGATGGAGACTTGTCAAAAGCAATATCCAGCTGGACCGCGCATGTACCGTGGTGCTCACGGCGTTCGCGCTCTTTTCCTTGGTGCACGGTCCGGCCTCCCGCCAGTTCCTCTAGACCACCTAAGGCTGCAGACAGATGGAACCACGCTCTTCACCTCAACCCATTGTGAGACTAGTTAACTAGTGCTCTAGTTAACTTGCATACATAATCTTACCTCATTTCTTCCTTCCACATCTCCGCCTCGTTACTTTCCCTTAAAAAAAAAAAACCCACAAGAATTAAGAAGGCAGTTGTTATCCTCCTATATCCCAAACGGTTGACTTCCCGGTTTGTCTCCTTGTTACTTGTTTAAAAAACAAAAGAGAGAGAAATAGACGTTTCTTTTCTGTTTTCATTAAGAAGAATGAAATTCAGAGAAACCTTAACCGCCAGACTAAGCCCTATCATGCCGTCATACCCCGTCTTTAAGAAATGTGGCACTTGCTGTGAGGCAGTGCCATCCTCTGATGGTCACTTGGACTGCATAAAATGTCTGGGAGAATCCCATATTCCCCAGAAATGTCTCCACTGTACTAAACTTACGTCCAGGGCTAGAAAAAACAGAGAGAGGCGCCTGTGAATGCTCCTCTTAGATAAAGCCCTGGAGCCACAAACAGCCCCTGAAGCGACGAGCTTCATCCCCCAACCCGGCCATACCAAAGAAACCTAGACTCTCCTCAACCAGATCTCTGCCTACTGTCCTACACGGCAGGGAGAGCCAGGGGGACAGACCGGGAACATCCGGTATTTCAAAGCCGTGCTCCGGAGTGTCAGCGGCACAAAAATCTAAACAGCTGAGGGAGCCTGCACAGATTGTGGCACGGGGGGTAGCATTGGCTCCACCTGCACCCCAGCCGCCGGCACCGAGCTCTGAGCCACCAATGAGGGCTTTCTCAGAGCTGACTATGACAGCGCTGACACCTGCACCATAGAATCATAGAACCATAGAGCTGGAAGTGACCTCAGAAGGTCATCAAGTCCAGCCCCCTGCTCTAGGCAGGACCAATCCCAACTAAATCAACCCGACCAGGGCTTTGTCAAGCCGAGACTTAAACACCTCTAGGAATGGAGACTCCA